GCGGGCGCGCTCTGCAAAAGGTAGGCGCCACATGCGGCTGACGCGCGCGGCCCGCGACGCGCGCGCCTCATCGGCGCGCGCGATTGTCCTTGCGAGAAGCGCGTGGCAACGCCTCCAAGCTGCCGCCTGCGATCGTTGGGGGGCAAGTGTTTCGTTGCGCGCTCAAGAATTGCCCTGGCCGCATCGGCGCCAATGCTCAGCAAATAAACAGAAACCGCCGCCCGTCTCCACCCCGCGCAATTCCCGAACGCGCAGGCGCGGCCCTGCCGGCCCCGGCAACTGCGCAGCGGCGTCGCGGGCACGGAGCGCGAACCGCAGTGGCGGACGCTGCGCGGCGGCAGCGGAGCCATCAAATGCCCCCAATCGAATAAATCAGGAAGTCCACGCCCAATCGCGAGCTCAGGGCGGAGAACCGCTCTGGCCTCGACGCGGGCCGCGCCCCCAGCCAGGGCGACGCTCTGCTTCACTTGTTCGCGCGGCGAAGGCGAGCGCACATGCGCAAGCCAAATGTGCGAGCGGCCGCCCATTCGACCTCGGGCGCGCGACCGATGCAACACGCACTCCAATCGCTTCCGAAATTCCACGCAGCGGGCGCGCCGGGGGGAGCGGGGCTGCCATCCGCGGGCCGTGCATCGATGAGTCGCCATCGCGATTCACAGAAGCGGTTGTTCACGCGCAGAACTATCAACGGAGCCTCTGCCCCCAAAGCGCCATTGTTGTCAGGGCGTTCAAAAAATCGCCATGGAAATAAGGGGGGCAGAGGTCGATGACACTGTTGTCAGCGACCCGCATGGGGCGGGGGCGTCCGGGAAAAGGCGCGCTAAAACTTTCTCCATGCCCTAGCAGCCCTAGCAAGCGCAGCCGCGGGCCGGGCCTCCTGGGGCCGGCGTCCTCGCTGCTTCCCCGCCGGGGGGTCGCCCGCGCATCTCCCGGGGCAAATGGGAGTCCCGCGCTGTCCTTCGCCTTGACCTCTCGCGATCATGTCTCTCCCTTTCGAGCGGGCCGCCCGCCCGTTGCCGGCGCGGCGCCGCGCCCCCGGGCCAACGCCTCGGGGGCTGAAAGGTCGGCTGGTTTCGCCTGTCAGTCGCCCATCGGGAGCTCGAGGTCGCTGGCTCACTGCGCCGCGCATCTTCTCGCGGCTGCTCTTCGCGACGCGATCCCCGGCGCTGCCCAACGCGCCGCGCACTGCGCCGCGTCGCGCCAGATCTCGCGCAGCGGATGACTGCGTTCCACTGCCTCTGGAAACTCCACCCTGCGCGACAGAGGCGGGCCAGGAGAGCGCCCCGCAACGTGACTGACCTACGCGCCGTCTTGTTGAGGGCGCAAGGAATTCGCGCGGCCCCCATCCACTTCTCTGGCCGGATCGGCCCGGACATCGCCTGCCACGATGGACGGGGCGGCCCCTGAGGGACTGCCATGGCCCATCGCCTGACGCCGTCTCGAGCAGCCTGGTCGATTTCACGCGCGACCGCGCGGGCTTCCCGTCAAGTCTTCGGCGCCTTGCACTTCGTTCCTTCGCATGCTTCGGGCGGCCCCGCCCGTCGGACGGGGTCGCGGCGCTGCGTTCTTATCCGACCTTCGCGACGCAGTTCGCGAAGTCCTCGGTCTCGGTGCGCGCCAAGCCTGCCCCCCGCATGTTCTGGCGATGATTCCCCCGTCGGGCTTCGAAGCCCACGCAGCTCCCACTCGGCAGCGCCTCAAAAGTGCCCCGCTCTGCGCGGGCCTGAATCTGCCTCTCGCCTGGGGTTGATGCGAACCGCGGATGCCGCCCTCGGATCTCCTCGCGGATGTTCTACCCGAACTCCCCAGACAACTGCCCGTCGCCCCCGGCGACGCGGATGACACTGCATCTTCCGGTCGCCCGCCGGGCAGCTCCCGAGCCCCACTTCATGCCTTTGGCGATGTTCGCCGCGCTGCAGATGCCCTCGAAGTTCCTCGCGAAGTCCTCAGCGCCCCATCGGGCTTTCCTGCTTGTCTCCCATAATCAGCCAATTCATCTCCGGCTCGACCATGATAGTCGAGCGCAGCCCTGACCGGGAGATCGGAATCGAACCCTCCAGGACATCGAGGTCTGGGGCGGGGTGCCCCGTCGACCCCGCCCATGGCGGACTGCCAGTGTCGCTGCCGCAAGCGCATTCGCCATCGCTTCCATCGCCGATTCTTCGGGCGCCGAGGCTGGCCCTGACGGCTCGGCCAGGGCCCCGGGCAAGCGCTGACCTCGCGGCGTCGAGCCTCCACCCGTCGAAGCATGCAGGGCTCGACTCGCTCGCTCGGCCCTCTCCCCCCCGAATCTTGCTCGTTGAAGTCCTGCGCCGCGGGCGTCGGCGGCGCGGGCGAATCTCGCTCCGCGCGGATCAGGTGGGCCCCGGAAGATCGGCGGCCTCGGTGGTTGGACGCACGCGGGGGGGGGCCCTGCCGGGCTGTTTGGCCTGGGCCCCGGCGGCCATTCCGAGCCCGCGCAACGATCCCAAGATTCCAAGTGCGCTCTGCCGCGCACCCTCGGATTCCGTCGCATTGGGGCCCACGTCGTCGCCGACGCGGGCCTCGTAGTTCCGCGAGGTCGTGGCCCAAATTCCAATGGGATTGCCCGGCGGCCGCTGCCCCTCGCTGTCTGCCGCCGGGCCCGCCGCCGCGGCGGGCGGGCCCTCTGCCGCGAGTCGACCAGTCGCGCCCAGCCTGGCTGACCCCTGCGCCCCTCGGCCCCCCGCCGCCTCGGAGGCGAAAGCCTGCTCGATCGCCGACGGTGGACCCGCCGTTCTTGGAGAGTATCTCCCCCGCCCGGCAGCGGGTCGCCCAGGTGGTCTGGGGGCTTCCTTGCGCAAATTTCCAGCGCTGCCCTGCCGCGGATCAGACGCGCGCCCCCCGCCCAGGAGCGCCCCCCTCTGCGCCGGGAAGCCTGCGGGCGGACTGCCTCGCGCTCCGCCCCCGAAGCGTCGCGGGCTCTGCGCCGGCGTCTGCCTCGCCGTCTGGAGGGGCAGCGCTGGGCACGCGCTCGTTTGGACTCCGTCGCGCGCCAAGAAATGACCGCAGAGTGCCCCCAGGCCCCTGCGCCCAATCGTCGGACTTTCCTCCGAAGGTCTCGCGCCCCCGCTCATCTGCGCCGGGCGCCTCGTAGAACGCCGCCAGCGGTTCGCGCGCCAGACATTCGGCCCAATTCGCGGGTGACCGCGTCGCCTGGTCCGACTCGTCCTTGGATGGCATCGCGCAATATCCCGCCGGGGCACCCGCCACCTCTTCGCAAGCACCGCTCAGTCATGAAAAGGCATAGATCCTCAAAGAAAACGCCTTTTTCATGCGAGCGACCCGCCTGAACTCGTCGGCGAATGTGTCGGTGAGCACTGGAGCTCCAATCTCCAGAGCCCCCGCGGGCTCCTTTCCGCGTTCGGTCCAACCGGCGGGCTCCAACATGCGATTCGCCCTGTGAAGCGCCGCGCTCTGTCCGCGAGCGACCTGGCCGGAATCGCTGGCCCCTGCTGACTCCATGTCCTCCGAACTACCAGCTGCCTGGCATCGCTCTGCACCTTCGCTATCGCGGCAATCCGTTGTTCTGCGCATTATTCAGCATGCCCCCGCCTCTCGGCGGCTACATCTCCCTTCCGAAGGTCCCTGATCCGATCGCGTCCGTAGAAGGTCCCCATCGCGAACTCGCACAATTTGCTTTCTTTTTCCCAGACCTCCGGGCCCCTCTGCCGCTCGGCGCCCCGCCGTCATCGAGTCTCCTCCGTGACCAGCGGTTACAATCCATATTCTTCAATTTTGGTACTAATCCATCAGATCTCCAATTGGTCCCGGAATAATAATAAAAAATCCATCGGCCATTCCCGTTGTATCAACATCATCGCCATGTTCGATTCGTCCTTCTGGAGCGCCTGGCGGCAGTGCCGATCTCCCCGCCCCCCTCTGATCCTGAAGCGGTCCTAAGGGGTATTTCATTCCGTCATTCTTCAGCCTCCCGGTTTCCACTGCGAATCCCGCGTATTCAGGGTCAAGATCGTCGCGAATTCATGCGCCCGCCTTCGGCTGCGTTTGGCCCGCGACCCCAGCAGCTTCGCAGTCTGGCCCCGCCTCTTGTTTCATCATTCGTCCTTTTTGCTTCCGCAGATGCTTCACCATGCGTTCCTCGAGCTGGTTCGCGTTCTTTGAAAATCCCTCCTGACAGGCTGACGCGTCGTCGCCGTCGGGGAATTCAGACTCACCCATCAACTCCGCGCCTGTTTTTTTCCACTTGTTACTGTGACGGGTGCCCTTCTGTGCTCACTGACGTCACTGATCAAGGGCTCGTTGGTCATGTAAGTTGTTGGGCGATTTCCCAAAGCAGCCCTTTGCTGAATTAGACTGAGTGCACTTCTGAATAGTACATGCGAAGTTCTGAAAAGTCTGAGATACCAACGTTCTACGCAGGCTTGGCGGCTCTGCGATGTAGCAGGAAGTGTCCCGATCTGTTTGTAGCTGAAATCCAGCAAGAGAGACCAATGGCAATGAAAGTATAATGTTTTCCTTGCAACACTGCTGTAAATCCTGCAGTTTAAGGTCCTCCGACCGCGAGCCAAAAGACAGCGGTCGTCGTCGACTTTCGCACGACGGCGACCTCATAAACCCTCTCTTCTTCAGAGGGGCGCTGGGGAAGCAACTTCAAATACTTTCCAAAACGGCCCCCAAGACGCCTCAAAACTGCCTCCGACGGGCCCCCGAAAAGCCTCCCACGAGATCTCAAAAACTTCCAATAGGCCTCATACCCACAACCCAAGCAGAGTGGCGGGACTTGCCGCAGCAAGCTGGATGAATTGAACCTCCAGAGGACGTGGCCTCCACAAACTTCCTCTGAGGACCTCAGGAGGCTTTCTGGGACCCCCAATAGACCTCTGGGGCCTTCCAGGCGGCTTTGGGGATATCTGGAGACCTCTGGGGAAGGGGGGAGGATACGGAACCCGAACAAGAGAGAACCCAGCAGGCTGCGTAAAAGAAACATGAATCGTCACTATTTCCGTATCTATGATAACCCTCCGGTGAGTCCTTCGCCGCCTGCTTCAGTCTGTAGTGCACGGTAAACGTGCCTCCCGCTGGCACTCCTCCAGACCATCCAACATGCGTTGGCGAAAAATATATAATCAAATTCGAGGTCGTGGCAACCGCGTGTCAACACTTCACGCGTGCACGATCGCTCCGGTGATATCCGACAATGCTGCTCCAATGACCTAGACACCATCTGTACTCACACCCTGCTGATATCCCTGTCACTTCTCTGGCGCCATGCACCACATTGTCTCATCGCGGCAACGCCACCGACACTTCACGTTGACAACATAGTCTTTCTGTCCTAAGACCAACACATATGGCGATTCCATCCGCAATGTCGCAAACAACGTCACTATTTATACATGTATACTCTGAACACCACCATTGCTCCTCGCCCCTGTCGCAGAATACCTGACAGAAAGGAAGCTGGCGTCCGACGATGACGATGCGACGATGACGATAACGATGAGACGATGATGATCACGATGACGATGACGATGAACACCATTTCTCCTCGCCCCTGTCGCAGAACATATGAAAGGAAGGAAGCGGGCGTCCAGGAGGAATACAGGCCTCCATTTTGATGCCCTCAGGGGTCAAGAAACGGATCGTGTCGCCAACGAAATGTCCGTCGGGTCTTGAAACCTCCCGCTCGGCCAGCGTGAAGCTCGTGTCTCTCAAAAACACTACAATTAGTTCGGGCATGTCCTCCTACAGGAGGATTTTGGGCGAAAATTAAAACATTGTCAAAATACTCAAACATGGTCAACGAATAATCAAAACATCGTCCCCAGACAATTTGTTTTAACTATTTTTGAGTATTCCTGCTGTAGAGGACAGGCCCAGCTTAACACTATAATTGCTGCAGAACGCTCCGCTTGCACACATAATCACACAGAAATAGCATCGAACACCAGAGGTGCACCTGTACAAGCCCTCTCCATGGTTCGCCACTGTCCCAGTGCCTCTGGCCGACAGCCTAGACTGAAGCCTGGTCAGCCCATCAGTCTCCGCGCCGCATGCTGCGTGGGCACGCGCTGCGCTAGATCGCGCGCTCTCACGCATACGCTGCCAAGCGCTAATTACCCATTTGACACACACACACACACACGCATGTGCGGGGAGTGATGGAGAAATGAACACAGTCAGCCCCGATTGAGGGCGCAAGGCAAAAATATTATGGAAGGCTGTCTTGCAACTTTGGGGCCGCGGCGCTCACAAAATGCAACCTGCAGATTGTCCTTCAGCTGATAGCATGTCCCAGAACTCATAACAGGGATGCCACCACATGGCAAGCAGAGCCCCACATGTCTCCCAACCGGCCCTGAACAGGCCGTCAAAGCCAAAGAAATTGCCGAGGATGGCCACAAGATACTTCTTGTATGGCCTGGGAAGACCAACACGTCCCCGGTAGGGCAAAACTTATTGAGAAACCCGAGCGCGTTCAGTGCAAGTTGCCTGTCCCAGGTTTTGCTCACAGGAATCCCTAGCGTTGTTTCAGGACGGGTACAAGAATCCCCGAGATCGACCAAGACGGTCCCAGGGTGGTCCCAAAAGACACTGAGATGCCGCCCGACTCGCCCACGAAGGCGCAACAAGGCCCAGAGATGCCAACCAAAAGGGCCACCGCGTGCCCCAAGGCGGCCCAAGAAGGGCCCCAGACGTGGGGGGAACGTTCGGGAGGAACTGACTCTGGGTGGGGGGGCATCGCCCTGGAATCGGCGACACGTCGCCGACACCTCGGCGATGAGCCCCCGAGTGCAGGTCCGCACGGTGCTGCTCGGGAGGGGCCATCGGGCCCCCCATCGGAGGAGTGAGCGATTGGGGGTCCATGCCCCTCGGAACCTATCTCCCCTTGACGCTGCCCCTGAAGATTGCCCCCCTCTCGCCACCGGCTGGCTCGGCCTGGGGGGCCGGCGGCAGAGGGCGCAGCCCTTCATGTCCGGCCGCTTGGACCGTGCGAGCTCTTTTTGTCCATGTCTTCCAACACCCAGCAGCGCTCTTGCCGAAACTTCCAGACATGGAGGACGCCGTTGGTGCATCCCCCGTTGTTCCCTCTGAGTTTGGCGAAATGGCGGAGAACACTTACACTCGTGACGCGGCGCGCATGCCAGCGATATCCTTGCTGGGGGAGGCTTCATCGGAGCAGTCAGTGGCGTTAGTGTCTGGGTCGTGGTCAAGAGGTTTCTTAGGAACCTCTTGGTCCAGCGGGAGAGTTTGGGGAGATTGTGGCTGCTTCCCGGGGATTAAGTTGCAACCCCTTGTGAAATCCGAGACCGTGCCTGCACCGAGTGGGCGCGTTTGAATGTGTTCATGTTGTTTGGTGGGGACTACGAAACAATCATAACCCGAACAATGTTGCACCTAAGTTTTTTTACCTTCCGTTGGGTTTGTGGCGGCCGTGTCTTCGGTCCGGCGGCTATGTTGCCTCCCCTTCGCCGCCCCGTCGCCCCCTCGTGACTGCACCACGTAGATATAACGAGAAAAAATCGCGCCTCCGGCGCGCATTTTTGATCGTTCGCAGCATGGAACGCACCACTTCGATTGCACAGGATAGGCACTACATAGACTGCATCATAAACATATATGTATTGCACAAGCACGTAAAGTGCACCACATTTTTTGCGCCACGCATATCGCACCACATGTACTGCGCCACCACGTAGATTGCACACTATGGATTGCACTTCGAAAAATTCTCCTTTCTAAAAACAGAATAGACTCTACCCCCCCACCCCCGCGTTATCGCCCCCCCTTTCGGATATGCAAATCACATATGATTCTGACCACGTGTCCATCCTAACTATGAAATCGCAATGTCCCAGGCCAGCCGGTATCGGCCCCCCTGAGGTTCTCTTGTAGTTTTAAAAAATGCGGTGACATTTGTTGTTCTAGCATAACACTTGTTTTCACAAATCCCTTGCAATACAAATGAACGAAGTGCGCACGCGCGCGTCGTCGCGCGCGCGCATGACGAAATCCTTCAAAAACCCTCGGTGTCGGAAGGATTTCGCAATCGAGTTTCCAAAACAATACAAAAACACATGATTTCGCAACACTGATTTCCAAAAGACGCGCGAAATCTTAAGAAAACCATAGGGTTTTCAAGATCTTCACAAAATGCTATCAAACGGGCTTCGCTCGCGCGCGTGTCGAAATCTGTCGAGCGCCCTTGCGCGTGTGCCGTCGCGAGAATCCTCGGCAACAAATGGGACGCAGGACAGACGCGCGCGTCGTCGCGCGCGTATGCCGAAATCCTTCAAAACCATAGGTTTCGGAAGGATTTCAAAATCGTGTGTCCAAAAAACCTACAAAAACGCAAGGTTTCGCAACACGGATTTTCAACAAAAGCGTGCGCGCGCGCTCTTGCGTCGTCGTCGTCGTCGTCGTCGTCATCGTTGTCGTCGTCGTCGCCGTCCTCCCTCCTCCCGCGTCGTCGTCGTCGTCGCCTACGTCGTCCTCTGTCGTTCCTCGTGTTCGTCGTCGTCGACCTCTTTGGCGTCGTGGTCGTTTCCGTCGTCGTTGTCGCCGTGGTCGTCCTTCCTCCTCGTCCCTAGTCGTCGTCGTCGCCGTCCGTCGTCGGCGTCTCGTCGTCGTCCCTCCTATTTCGTCGCCGTCGTCGTCGTCGTCGTCGTCGTCGTCGTCGTCGTCGTCGTCTTCCCTCCTCCCTCGTCGTTGTCGTCGTCGGCGTCGCCGTCCTTCCTCCTGCTTCGTCGTTCGCGTCGTCGCCGTCCTCCCTCCTCCCTCGTCGTTGTCGTCGTTGTCGTCGTTGTCGTCGTTGTCGCCGTCGTCGTCCTCCCCCCTCCCTCGTCGTCGTCGTCGTCGGCATCGTCGTCGTCGTCGTCGGTGTCGTCGTCGTCGTTGTCGTCGTCGAAGTCGTTGGAAACGTCATCGGTGTCGTCGTAGTCGGTGTCGGCGGCGCCGTCGTCGTCGTTGTCGGTGTCGTCGTCGGCGACGGTGTCGTGGCCAAAATGCCATGTGGTACCCACCGTCACGGTCTTGTCTTCAGAGGTCCTGCGACCGAGTTGCGGGTGGGAGGGTGGGATGTTTGCACGAGCAGCGGAGAGAACAGCTTCAAGACGGTCAAAGTGAATTGCACCACATAGATTGCACCACGTAGTTCGACCGCATCGATTGCAACACGTCGATTGTATAACATAGAATGCACGATGTGGTTGTCGTGCCTGCGCGGCGCTGTTTGGCCGCCCACAACACAGATTGCAACGCACATTCTGCACCACATAGCACAACATAGGCGGCACCACAAATATTGCACTGCATAGATTCTCCCCTCTTGAAAGAAATTAATTTCTACCCCCATCACCCCCCCCCCCCCCAGGGTTCTCCGCCACGCGCTTCGATTGGAAATGTATATATGATTGCGACCCTTCGCGCATTTTCTCGACGAGCTCAAACCATCCTAGGCCAGCCGGTATCGACCACCCCCGCCATTCTCTGCATAAAAACCTATGCGCGCACACTCGTTCATCACAAATCATAAGTTTGCACTAGTCCCTTGCCCCAAAAAAAAAATCGAAGTGCGCACGCGCACGTCGTCGCGCGCGCATGCCAAAATCGTTCAAAAACCTTCGGTGTCGGACAAAGTGTCAAAATCGAGCGCCCGAAAAACATCGTAAAACACACGAGGTTTCGCAACACGGATTTTCAGGAAAAAACGCGCGCGCGCTGTTGCGAATCCTTGCACAAAACGAAACCCGAGGTTTTCCTGAACATGTTCAAAACATGCGGCCAAACGGGGGTCGCGCGAACGTATGTCGAAATCGCGCGAACGCCCCTGCGCGCGTGCGGTCGCGAGAACCCTTTGGAACAAACAGGACTAAGTGCACGCGCGCGCGTCGTCGCGAGCGCATGCCAAAATCCTTCAAACACTTCCCGTTCCCGAAGGGTTTCAAAATCGAATGCCCCCTAAACATACAACACGCATGGTTTCGCAACGCGGATTTAAGAAAAGCGCGCGCGCGCGCTCTTGCGAACTCTCAAGGAAAAAAGTCAGTTTCCAAACTTATACCACACGGGTTTCGCGTGCACGCGTGTCGAAATCGTCCGAACGCCCATGCGCGCGTGATGGGGTGGCACGATCCGCGCCAAATAAAACCATGCGAGCCACTCTCGCGCGTCTGCCGCTCGCGCATGTCAAATTCATTCCAAAACCTTCATCACCGACGCGAAGACGCCATTATCGTCGTCGGCGTGATCAGCATCGGCGCCGTCGCTGGCTGCCCCATCGTCGCTGTCAGCATCGTCGCCAGCATCGCTACTGTCATCATGTCCACTGCTGTCGACGTTGCCATGATACCGCGCCCGCCCAAGCCGCCGACTCGCACTGAAGTGCCCGCTGGGACGCGCCGAACGGTCAGCGCCACCGTGTTCGCGTCGGTCGCGCCAAACTAGCCGGCTGCTGCGCGCGCGAGCATGCGCGGGCTAGCGCGGCCGCAGGGATGCACCAGCCAACGCCCAGCACTCATCGCATTCGCTTCCGCATGGGGCATGCAAACAGGATTGCGGGTGGGCGGTGGGATGTTTGCGCGAGCATTGGAGTGGGCAACTTCAACTAGAGCGTTGGTGAATTGCACCACACAGGGCGCGCCGCGTAGATTCTCCTGTCTGAAAGATAGACTATCTCC